TTTATCTGGAGACAAAACCTATTAAAAAATATAGACCATAAACAAACAAGATTTAAGGGTAAGCAATGCCAATTCACCAGGCAAGGATGAGGCATAAGAAGAGGAAGAAGTAAAAAGGGAATAAATTCACTGGATCCAAATAGTAGTGACATGATCAAGGAAACAACAAAATTCTGAGGGGTATCTTAGCAGATAACTCTTTAAGTGGGTCAGTGAGCCAGACCAGGCTTTAGCCTGTCATAATTATGTTCCTTGTGGGTTAACAATTGTAATCAGTCAGCTGATACCAAGAATCTTCACACCCCTGTTTCTTCTCCTTTCCTAGGAGTTCCAAAATTCTTGGGTTTTCCTGAGGGCCCCTGTTCTGTGCAACTCCTTCCTCCCATCATCTTTAATTCCCTCTTTCCAGTTTGGAAAAAAACCCCAACAACTATACTTATCACCATTCAGTATGGGGGCAAACAGCCCTTAATATCTCAGTCATCCCTCTTCTTCCCTACCTCAAAATAAAAGGGGAAGAATACCTCATTCTAAAAGGCCATTAGGTAAATAGAATACTTAAACAGTGTCTGGTGGGTTTGATATGACTTATTCATGCATAATCTAGATATGGTTCAGAATATTACCTGGGTTTCAGGGTTGATTCAGGGCTATAGGCCTATTATTTTAGAATAGAGTCTGATTTACTCAGACAGCCAATCAATTAACAGGCATTTATAAAATGCCTAGTATGTGCAAAATATTGTCTGACCTACATTCTAGAGTCAGTATAGCTCAGTGAGTATAGGAATAAGAGAAGGATTGCCATTTGCCCAAATATTTATCCAGTTGCATTCAATCCTATATCAAATCTTTACGCTGTAGAAGGAGAAGGCATTTGAAGAAGAGAGTCCAGCAATAGTATAGAGACAGCCCCATGTCCAGAGTTCCTGGTCATTTTTTTCCATCATGGAACAGCTTCTTTTTCTGTCTTCCATGAGTTATTTAAAAAGTAGAAGTCTGGCAGTAGGAAAATTGGGCACTGACTCTAGATCTACCAACATGAGTACACATTGTCACAGATAAGAGTGGGAACTAACTCAATGTCTAGGGGCTGGCAGCAATAGCTGGTGCCCAGAAGCCTCTTGATATTAGAGACACAGGTAGCAGTTAAGATCATTGACTCTCTCAGGCTTGTGATCTCCCAAGGGTGTAGCAGAAGGGGGGATGGTGTTTTCTATATTCCTCCTTCAACCTTTACCCTCCTAATCACCCAATTTGGTGTCCTCACATTGGGTCACAATGAACCATGGCCAGGGCATCCAGAGTTAGGCAGGACATAGCAATTAGTCATATAACCAGGGGGAAAAACAAAAGTTACAGGATGTGTTTGCCCAAATGATTTGGGCCACTGGTCTGAGATTAGGGGGAGAGCTAATTGGAAAAATTTTCCATAGTGTGGTATGAATCACACTAGGATGCATATATTTTAATACACCAAGAATTCATAATTTCATCAGGGTGAGTACATTTCCAGTATTGCGGATTACAATTTTTCTGTGCCTTACTAGATGCTCTTCATGAGTTGTCATGACCAAAAACAAGCAAATAAAAAAACACCCCCAAACCATTATGTAGTGGTCAATTTTAGTTGGACTGGTCTCTGAATGACAGATACATTGGGGACCACATTTGACACTTTTCCCATCTTGGTAGGTCCTACCAAAACTTGTGGTGTACTGACATAGTCTTAGTTTAAAAAAATGTTGCATTACGATTTTTACATGACTGGGACTTCCCTCCTCCAAAGACATCTCCTTGAAACAGAGAAAAACAGCTAAGCAAAACAAACTGACACATTGCTGATGTCTGACAGTAAACTCAGCATTCAGTACCCATAGTCTACCCTCTTTTTACCAAGAGGTGAGAAGTATATTTCATTTTTCATCTGTGTAATTACCAATGTCATGGTAATTACATTAATATGAATTCTGATGATCTTAGTGTTGTTTTCCTTTGCATTACTGTGATCATTGATTATGTTGTTCTCTTAGTTCTGATTTCTGTACTGCTTATCATTGCATCTTATATTCAGTCAATTAAATTCAATTCAACAAATGTCTTATTAAGCATCTCCTATGCTCATAACACTCAATGTCTTAGTGGCTGAGACTATAAAGGCAAAAATGGAAGCAAGGAGCTTGCATTCTTTATTATATTCAAGTCTTCTCAGGTTCTTCTGAATTCCTCCTATTTGCCATTTTCTGTGGGATGGTAGAATTCTATTACATTCATTGGCAAGACCCCTCTTCAGTTATCTTTTTGTTCATTCCCTAACTGAAAGAAGGACATTATTGAAGTTTCTCTTTGGACTTTTTGATCATAGTTCAATATGACATTCTTTTTAGAACACTACTGGAGTAAAGATGAGAGAGTTGGGCTCTTCCGCACTTTTTATGCAGCCACCTTGACCCAAAGTCCTTGAAAATCTCCATTACATTAATATACTGGTCAATGAGTACATACTTTTTTTCTAGTTTTTCATGATTCCAGAAAATACTATTCTGAATATTTTGGTAATTTGGGACCTTGCCTTTTGTCTTTGACCTTCATTAGATATACAATTCTGGTTGTTATAATAAGGGTATCACTGGGCCAAATGATATGAACCACTGCCCCAATATTTGATAACCCAGGAACATCTTCATGGCACAATGATGCATCAGAGTAAGACTTTAGTGGAATTTTATGTTTCATACCTCTATTATTTTTACAATCTAAATTTGTAAGGCTGGTCGTTTAGTAATATTGTAGAAAGAGTACCATACTGGATTCAGGGCTAGTCTTAATTCTACTACTTTCTAGCTGGAAGGTTAAGTCAACCTAGTTGAATTCAATTCAACAAGTATCTTATTAAGCATCTCTTTGGTTCATGACACTGTCTTAGGGGCTGAGACTATAAAGACAAAAATGGAACCAAGGAGCTTATGTTTCTATATTACATTCACGTCTTCTTGAATTTCTCCTATTTATCATTTTCTATGGGATGATTGAATTCTATTACATTCATTGGCAAGACCCTTACCCAGTTTGACTTAAACTTCCTGGGCCTGTTAGCTCATCTGTAACTCAGAGATAACATGTTTTAAAGTCAGAAAGTCTGGGCCAAAGGGTCTCTTGAAGTCTCTTCCTACAGGAATTAAGAATGTTGGCCTTCAGATTTGGTTCCAGTATATAAGGAAGACAGCAAAGGTTTCTCCAGACAGCCTCTTCACCCACAGCTCCGAAAGTCCTTCTCCTTTGGAAAGGTTGTGTGTGTGGTGTGGGGGCAGAAAAAAAAATCGAGGTTTTTTCTGAGCATAAAATAAGAAGACAGCCTTGTGTTACAGAACAAATGGGGTACTTTTCTTTTAATAAAAGAAATGGCTGTGTTCCTGTTATATAAATTATTAAAAAGGGGGAAAAAGAGGAAGAAAACCCTACGACAGGGTACTGGGAGGTGATGTCTAATGCATTTCCAGAACATGACTGCTGTGGTCGCCTAGCAACCAGGAGGAGGCGGGTCTGTGAGGCGAGAGGGGCTCCATCCCTCCATCTATTCCTCCCCACCTTCTTTCCCTCGTCACACTCAGGCGGGGGAATGTGTTCGTCTATATGTGTGAGTCCAGGTGGGCAGGTGATGTAGGAGCTCACTGCTCACCCCATGCGCTGACGATATCCAGGTGCTGAGGATGAAACTTTGAGGCTTTGGGAAGCTGGACGGTGTCATCGTGGAGCTCCTTGGTGGGATGTGAGGACTCCCGCCCCAAGCCAGTGGGCGAGGGGCAGATCACGAAGTAGTCAAGCTGCTGGATGCCCTACTCGGGGCTTGGCAAATCGACTCCTGGAAAGTTTGTAGAGACCAAAGGGTCAGGCAGGTAGTGTCTCTCTCTGCGCCAGGAGGATGCTTTGGTCTCTCCTCTGGCTGACCCGAAGTTTCACTGACAAGAGTCCGCTCCCGGGAGATCAGACTGTCCGAACCAGGTGTGCCCTGGATAGCGGCAACCCAGAAGGCGGGGAAACCAGAACCAGTTCTCCGCAGAGTCCAAAGCAGTTTTTACTTATTCTTGCTTAACTGAGTCACCGTCTGAATCATTGCGAGTCTTCTTGAGAAATTATTATTTTATTTGTATTTTCCTCTCTCCTTCCTCCTGCAGACAATGAGTTTGCGGAATCCACAGCAGCGCAGTTCATCCCAGATGAGTTGGGTAAGTTCTTCTCTTGTTGGATGAAGGCATTGTCTTTTTCCTTCCTGTCTTTTAATTTCCCCTGGTTACTGACTCCAGAGCTCCAGCGAGGAGCCAGACGCTGTGAGGATCCCGACGCCAGGTCATGAGTTGGGACTAAAGGGAATACTTTTCTATGTGTTGGTCCTTTATGTCAATCACATTGACTTAGCTTAGATATTTCCGTTGTGATGAGAACTGGCATTTTTTCCTGGGCATGTAGCTTTTGTGGCTGAACTAAAGTGTCAGGCTGTGTATGTGTGTGTGTGTGTGTGTTAGAGACAATGCAAATGTTGCAGATCTTTAGAGAATCCACTTCAAGCTCAACAAAAAACAAACAAGAACTTCCTCTACCGTTGGCTGCTGAGCCTGCCCTAGAAAGCAGGGACTGCCCATGTCTTTTCTGTAGCTGCCTTACCGGGTACTTGCCCAATCTATGGGCAGGTTTATGACCTAAGGGCACTCATTAATTGGAGAGGAGTGGAGGAAGAGATTGTAGACTAGAGTTTTAAAGCACTTGTCTGGGAGCTGCAACCTTAAGTGATGTGCTTATGTTTTTCTCGGATGTCTTCCAGTAGCTTATTTCTCTTTACTTGCGTTTGTCTCTGTGCCAGCCTTTTTTTTTTTTTTTGACAGAGATTTGGTGTGGTGTCAAAAGCTGAGCCTTTCCCGTGTTAACTGCAAAGATATTTTCATTATCAGAGTCCCTTGTGGGTATTCTGGATGCCCTCTGCTACTCTAAATTAGTGTATGTGTGTGTGTGTGTGTGTGTGTGTGTGTGTGTGTGAGTATGTGTGTTGCCCTCAGGAAACCTTAGCTGCTAACAAGCTGGGCTATTCAGAATAGTCTCCCTACTCACTTATCAAGAGTGTGAAAACCTTGCTTTCCATGTCCACCCACTTCTTTTCAATCAGCCCCTTGCTCTGTTAAAATGGTCTTTATTTATCCTGACATCACCCAGTGGAATCTCACTTCAGGGGATGATTTTCTAATCATTTCTCCAACAGCAAGGTACACAAAACTCTACAGAGTCAAAGCAGACATTTTGAGATACCAGTATAGAGTAGGATCTTACTGCATTCATTAACTGTGTCTGAGAAGTTGAGGATCAATCAAATGTTTGCAAATCAAATGATTTTTTTTACATGCCCAGGGAAAACATGCTTTTAAAGGAATACTTGGGGTAAATCCTTAGATAAAATAATCATCTTTGATCTTTTCATCTTTGGTTTGTATAACAAGGAGAATACCTACAGCCTTCTATAGCTATATATATATATATATATATATATATATATATAGCTCTGAAAGCTATTGAGGAGAAAGGCTCAAGCCAGAGATTTTTCTGACACTGGGCAAATTGTGTTCATGCTGGACAATCCTATGAGGGAAAGGGAAAGGTCCCTTGGGCAAGTATTAGATGTTCAGCTGATCTTTAATTATTAATCATTCCTGGTTGGGCTCTCCAGCTTGCAAAAAATAATTAATGTTTGTAAATTATAGGTAAATATAATCAATGACTGGGAGGGAAATTATTTACTCTGGGAAATGTGATGGTATTAGTGCTAGATTTTCTGCATATAAAGAATGATTTTCATAATTGTGAGGTCCTAGGTCTGAGTTTCCTTGTGTTCCAGCTTCCTTAAATCACTCTATATTGGTAAATACCAATGGAATTAAAAGAATAGGAGAGTTTTAAAGAATCATAGTCTACCCCTTGCATAGCTGAAGGCATCTCTCAATAGGAGTCCCTCCTCCCTCTCCCCAAGTGAGGAGGGCCCTTCTAGCCATCTCCTCAGCAATTCTTTTTGGGGAGAAGTTGGATTTCTACGGATGAGGATAGACTGGTCGGTACCCAGTTTTTCCCTCCCAAGAAGCTAGTGTTGTGTTGTAGTGAGGAATATAGTTTTAAAAAAGAAATTGCTGTGAACAAAGGCAGGACCTTGTTGTTCTATAACAAAAGCCATGGTCATATTATGTAACTAGTGAGTACTGGGTATTTTAATCAATTTCTCCATGCAGTGGCTGAGGGAATGACGGCTTTAAAGGGCCTATTCCCTCACCATCTCCACTCCCTCTCCTCAACAATTCCATGATTCCATTCAATTCAACAAACATTTATTTTGCTTACTGTGTCCAAGCCACTGTTCTAGAGACTGGGAATGCAAAGAAACATCTTTAGATTGGCTAGAGGCTGGTGGCCATCCCTGCAGGTGATTGAATGTTCCCTCAGGACCTGCTCTGACATTTTGGGTACATTTCTTAGGCATTGTCCTCCCTTCCACATGCATCCACAAAGCGTCTCACTAGTAGCTGGCCAGCCTTCTAGCTACTAGTAGCCGTTCTTCCTCAGTTTAGACTGATCTCAGGTCAGAGCACCAAAAAAAGATGAAGAAATCTTCTTTTATTGCTCAAGAACACCTGCCTGCATGCATGCATGCAGGGGAGAACTAGATTGAATGGGTAGGAAAGTTCTTGTATTTCTGCCCAGTGATGGCGGTAAGTTGTTGTTATTGGGCTGACACTTCTCTGCAGACTATTTTTACTTCTGAAAACAAGTGCCCCTTGTGTGAGTACTAGATCAATTGTATTCTTTCTCTGACTTCTCTTGGTGGAGCAAATGAGATAATTTTAGTTCCAAATGTCTTTTGTGATGGTTGCAATTCAATTCAATTAAAAAATTATTAAGTGCCTATTTCCGGGCAAAGCACTTGGCTAGGTAGAAAAGAAACAAAAATCAGGGGGAAAAAAGTCTCTTTCCTCAAGAAGCTTAAATTTAACTAGGGGAGGGAGAGGAGGTAAAAATTAGATGGGTAGAAAATAGATTTGATTACATAGCTATATTATATATACACATACATAAATATATCTATGTAGTATCTAATTTGGTACCTGTCTGGATATAGGCTTTAGGTAAAAGGTAAGGCCTAAAGAGAAAAAAAAATACTTTCTCTCTACTTTGGCACCCAAACTCTGGAATGTGGGCCTTGACAGCCAGGACCAACCACACCTTTTTCTTTTTCTACCAAGTAATACCTGCTCCCTATTCATTGCCCTCAACTCCACCCCAGTGATTGGGGAAGGGGGAAAGGAGGAGTAAATGAGTCTGCATGTCCCAACAGCCCAACCTTGTCTAGATATCAAAATGATGCTCTGATTCATTTTTAGCCTAGGGTGAAGGAAGAAAATTTCCCATCCAATTTAGGACTGCCTTTTCAAAAATTTATAAAAGATTATTGCTAATTAAAACCAAAAGATTCTCTCTGTCTCTGTCTCTCTATCTCTCTGTCTCTGTCTCTGTCCCTCTCTTTCTCTCTCTGTCTCTCTCTCAGTTTGGCTTAGCTCCCAGCCAGGAGAAAGCCTGACAATTATTTATAGGGCTAGAACCATGGTCCTTTCTGTATCTCTCTATCAAAACCCCAAAATTATTTGTTCCTTCCGCTATAGCCCTCCTGTACACACACAGATCAGCAGAAGTAAAATTGATTGGTTTATCTAGCTGGCAAAAGAAATTCAAACCATTTAAACAGAAATTTAAAAAGCAATTTTACAGAAAAAAATATTCTTTGGAATCAGCAATTGTCCTACTCCAACAGAGAGGGGGGAAGGAAGGGGAGACCATCACCTCAGTCTGGTGCATGTCCCATTCTGGCTACTGAAAACTGAGACAGCTGCTGTGTGTGTGTGTGTGTGTGTGTGCGTAGAGAGAGAGAAGAGATGATAGATGGATGATAGATAAATAGAGAAATAGGTAAATAGATGATAGATAGAAAGAAGGATAATAGATGATAAAGGCTGTTGTTGTTGTTGCTCAGTCAATTCAGTTGTGTCCAACTCTTTGTGACCCTATTTGGGGTTTTCTTGGCAAAGATAGTGGAATAATTTGCCATTTCCTTCTCCAGCTCATTTTACAGATGAGGAACTAAAGCCAACAGGGTTAAGGGACTTGTCCAAGGTCACACAGCTGGTAAGTGTCTGAAGCCAGATTTGAACTCAAGAAGATGAGTCTTCTTGACTCCAGACGTGGCGCTCTATCCACTGTACCATTTAGCAGCTCAGATGATAAATAGATGGATGATTAGATAGGTAGATAGGTAGATAGATAGATTTATAGGCAGCATTGTAGAGTGAAAAGGTCAAAGGATTTGAAGTCATAGGATCCAGGGGCTAATTCTACCTGTATGACATTGGGCAAGTCATTTAACCTTTCAGTGCCTCAGTTTTCTCAAGTGTAAAATGAGGGGTTGGAATAGATGATATCTAAGGTCCCTTTTGATTCTATGATCTTAACTTCAGTGACATTGTGAAAAGTTATGATGAAGATTTAAGCATAAGTCTTATCATGAGGGGACAAGGAGAGAGCTGAAAGGCTCCATTCTCAGGTGGTAAGAACGATCATGCCAATGGCAACAGCAAGAACAAAAAAAATATGTGCAAAAGTAGCTATATGATTTCCCCTTCCCCATGATCTACCTCCACTTTGTTCTCCTTCCCTTACTCTCATCATGTCAGGCCAGACCTAACCAACATGAATGGATGAGATCTGACTTATCAAGAACAAAGACATGGGATAAAGGGGGAAGGATATAAAGGTACCCCTCCTCTCAATAATTCTTCTGGGGGGGAAGCTAGGTGGTGCAGTGGATAGAGCACTGGCCCTGGATTCAGGAGGACCTGAGTTTAAACCTGGCCTCAGACGCAGAACACTTAGTAGCTGTGTGACCCTGGGCAAGTCACTTAACCCCATTGCCCATCCAAAAACAAACAAACAAACAAAAACCGAAACCAAAAACAAAACAAACAAACAAAAAACAATTCTTCTGAGATAGGAGTCTACTCTCATAATGGCACTGACTGCCATTAGAAGACTGAATCTTCTGCTGGAATTCACGAAGTCCCTCTCTATGGTTCTTTTATTTGGCATATCTAGTTCCTTTTCTTTTTTAAAAATATTTTTTATTTAATAAAATGTTTCCCAATTG